GCCAGCACAGACTACCACCGCTGTCTCCTCTAAAACTTTGCCTGATACAAATTTCTGGATCCCGGCTCACCTTCTTTGACACCTTGAATCTTTTTGAGGAGAAAGGCGGGTAAAAATATTCTAAGTAAATAGAATACTGTAAAATATCTTTTGTGTGATCCCGTAAAGGGATTGCCTGACTTCGGATTCCTTTAGCGCGGCTCCACGGGCAGAGGGGGAGAGAGGGCGAGATCACTGCCAGGAGCAGATTGCCTAAAGGTCAAGAGGTCCTGTTTTGATTTGGGGTCCCGAGTGACTGTGGGTGTGTCTTGTTGCGTGAGTGCCCAGAACCGAAGCAGAACTCTTCCATTGGGGGGTGACCCTGCTCTTGCCTGTGACCTCCTTTCCCCTCTGCCAGCTGACACGCGGGTCAGGAGGCAGGCCACCATTTCAAAACTCCAGCAGAATCACAGACTGGGTTATGCAAGGATGCTTAAGATTTCCAGGTCCCCCTCCAGGGTTTAGGAACAGGATGGGTTGGTGGCGTGACACTTCTAAAGGAGTGAGTGTCCGTAAATTTCAGTAAAGGAACAACAATCCTTCTGTTTTGACAAAAAGGTTTTTCATCTGCTGCCCTGCACGATTCTGCCAGAAAGTGCGGAGCTTTGCTTTGGAGGACGAGGGTGCCAGACCTCTGCGTCTCTGTGATGGAGAAGAAGCACGCCAGCAGGTGAGAAATGCAGAGTGCATAACCACTAGGGTTGCAGTGCGGTGCGGAAGAGGGTAGAAATAGCTCCTGATGAGAACAGCCTTTTCTTTTTTAAAGAAAGGTGCAGAAATGAGGTTGTGGTTCCTCCCCTTTTTTTTCTTCCACTTCAGCCATTTCTAGACAGATTGATAATTCAGGTTCTTTTTTTTTCCCCACTGGGTTGCCAGTCGCTGGACAAGTCGTAGCTTGTCAGTTACCGTTGAAAAGCTACTGAGAGGCTAGGGAAACCTGGGGTGGAGACCAGCCATAGTCTCTTAAGGAAGTTGAAGGTGGTTTGAAAGAGTGCACCCTCTTTCTCCGAGCGCACCCTGAGCGCCACTTCTGAACGAACAGGTTTTACAGCAGCTAAATCCTGAAAGGTGAGAATAACAGAAGGGAATCGTACGACAAACAGCGAACTCTCACCCTTCTTCTTTTGGGGTGGGACTCCAGTCCGTTGACCGATCCGTGATGGTCAGTTGGCATCTGCTTGTTTCACTGCAGTCAAATAATAGCTCAGAGGGGTTGAGGTCTCTGGCTGTGCAATCAGAGAGTTCGAATCCCCCTCAGTACCTCCTTGACTCAAGGATCCATAGGGTCCCTTCCAGCTCTGCCATTCTAAGATGAATGATGACCATCTTAATGTATTGTACATAATGCACAGAGAAGAACCCTGGCAAGAGGGCCCTCCAGACTACAAAGTGGAATCAAACCTCTCTAACTGTGCCATTTAGACACTCCCTGGGCAAAAACGCAGGGCTGGCTGACCAGAACGCCAGCCCGGTGCCACAACCATCTGATGTCCCAGGTCACACTTGTATCTTTTGTTTTTAAAGTTAATTTCATACGCTTGGATTACTTCCTTTCCTTGAAGGCAACGGAATTCACCTCCATGGGATTGGGGCCCTTCCCTCGACCACCTTCCCTCATTCTTAATAGTTTGAGGTGTGCACGTATATAAACAGACTGGCAGTAATGCTCTGGTTGTGCCCCTCTAGCGAGCGATGCCCTGGATGACCTGAGACCTGGATGGGAGAATCCACCAGCTCAGTTCCGCCTGTGCGGATTTGTAGAGGTTGACTCTACCTCTGTCTTTTGTAAAAGGACGAAGGCGCCAGTGATTGTATTGGGCTTGAGTGCAAACCTCACAGCAAAAGCAACCAACAGCTCCTTTCTTCTTTGCAGCTTGATGTTCGCAAAGGCACAGAGGCGCCAGGCTTCAAAGGAAGGCCCCGTCGTCGGGCAGCTGGCTCCTTCCCGCTTGCCTGGAAGTCGGGGTCAGGAGGGGGGCCGCAGGATCTCATATCGTGTGCATTACACTTGGAACCGGGGCGGGAGGGTGAAAGAGCTCCGCATCAGGTAACGCTCTGTGTTTAATGTTCGCTGCATTACTTACCAGGCTTTTCCAAGAGGGAAATCTAATTGGCGGTTTGATGTTTGATGTTTAGATATCTGTTCAGTCTGCATCCTGTTTTATCTGCCCAGTCAAATTCAATAAGTGGTTTATCCTCCAAGCAACCCAGGCTGCAACAAAATGCCGCAGAATGTAGAGTCATGAGTAATTAATGCTAACAAAGCTGTACACCTCTAAGGGGGTGCATGCGCTTAAAGCCCTCCAAGGCAAAAGCCGCCACCGCGCAACGGGCAGCTGGTTTGCAAGGATTTTGTGGCCTGTGGAATGTTAGAGGCGGGGAACAGCGTGGTACCCTTTAGGGGAGTAAAGCCACGGGCCAGTTGCGTGGCTCAAGGGGGGGATCCTCTCTGTTGTGGGCTGCCCTGTGCTTGCCGGAGGATGGGTGGGTTTGGAACGTTAGGGAGATAAAACACGTGGGAAGGGTGGGCCAGAAAGAATCGCCCGCGTGGCATTTCTGCAGGTTCACCACGAAGACTTTTGGGCTGAAGGTTTCGAGAGAAAGAGAGAGAGCCCAGAGGCAGGCAAAGGCCTGAGATCTCTTTTTCCTTGTTTTTTCAGACACCTAGCCAGGAAGTTCCTTTCCCTGTGGATGAAGAAGGTGTTTGGAAGAGTCCGTCCATCCAGGGCCAGGTGGGTGAAAGGCAGGGCTGTGCTTTTGTCTTGCGTTTTTCTTACTGACTAGAGAAAATAAGTCCGTCCCTAAAACGGGCGAGCTGCAGCGGGTTCCACTTGAGATTAAAACTTGCAGGCTGCTGTGAAGGAAGGCGAGGAGGAAAGAGCAGCGGATGCGCGAAGGCAGGAAGGAAGCCGAGCCTGAGAAGTCGCCCCTTCCTTTGTGACTTCTCTGCCAGGCCACCCCCCCCACCCCCCAGGTTTTTCCAGACATTGTCAGTTTCGAAGGGTTTTCCAGCTGCTGCATCATAATATATATTCATGGTTTAGATTTTTATTTTCAGACATTTAGAGCTCAGAAGCCCACGCACCCTTAAGGGATGCAACCCCATTGGGGCTACATCGACATAGACATGTATCAGGTTCCAGTTTCTTTCCTATTAATTACAAAAGTACTTAAAAACAGGGAGACCACGCCGTGGCGAAAGTAACAAGGGCAAACAAGCAGACACAAAAGACCAGCAAGAAACAGCAGAGCACGGAAGTGTATCTATTTTATTGAATGGTCTTCCAATGTTATTGTAAACCTGATGACATATTTTAACTTTTGCAGAAACAGGTGATACCTTTATTTGCCCATTTTGCTAATTTTTGAATGTATGCATCCGTTGTTCCCCCCCTCCCTTGCCACTTTGTGAGCCTCCCTCATTCCCTGAAATGGAACAGACAGAAAGACAGGGCAGTCGTGGGATGGGAGGCATGGAATCAGCCACTAATTCAACCCCATTCTGATGTGCTTGTCTTCCTGTGGGTGTTTCAGAGGTTACTGCGATCGGAAGGCGCTGGAGAAAGCCTTCGGCGTGTGGAAGGAGGAATGGTGGGCGGCTTGCAGGGAATGGAAGCTTACAGTCCGAGCCGATTGCCACCACAGGTCTGTGAAAGGGGACTCTCTGTGTTTGGTTTTCCAGGGAACACGGGGAAGAACTCCCTGCTTCTTTCAGGCATCCCCGGAAGGAGGATGGCCATCACAAACAGCACATGGCCCGTCCCAGCACCCTTTCGAGGGTTCTTTTTTGTCTGCTACAGCCTTTCCCTTAAGCCCCTTGTTTGCTTCCTGTCTGCTTGTTGAAAAGGAAATTTACTTACTTACTTACTTATTTACTTACTTATTTACTTACTTACTTACTTACTTACTTACTTACTTACTTACTTACTGCCCCATTAGTGCACAGCAGTGTTCTGGGCAGTGCACATCTTAGCTGAACGGGAAGGGCTCCATTTACCAAACCACGGTTTGCGCTGAGTGCAAGTTTGAATCCAGACTGCGATTTGAATTTGTGCCCATCCAGACCTGCCTTGATTTGGAGCAGCTGATTGAGCTTTCGCCTCCCCGCGGGCTCAACCGCCGTTGATTCTGTCCTAAAGCAGCCTCCGCCACGCGGAGTTACCTTCCTCCCTGCTTTGCGAAGGAAGGATGATGATGGGGGGGGGGGGGAAAGCCACGCTGAATCTTTGGAAGGATTTAAAAAGGGCGACAATGCTGTGTGGGTGGTGTGTTTTTCCCCCCCTTTTTCTCCCTCTACTTTTACCACCAAACTAGAGTTCTCACAAACTGTATGTTAGGTCCAGATGGGAGAGAGTGGGAAAAAAATGATGCTGAGAACAGACTTCCTCCCCACTCTGTGGGTCTCCTTGGCATCCAGCCCTGAGGTGAAACCGCTCCCATCCGAAGGCTTGCCTCCCACCTTCTCTGCTAGTTATAGGTCGACTCTTTCCTGACAATCATGTAAGGGGAGATTTGGGGGCTTATTGTGTTATCCACACAGGTGAAAAGATGCTTCCTATATGCCAAGAAACTTGTGGTAGAAATCTCTCTCTCTCTCTCCTTCGCCTGTTGAGAATATATATATATTTCTCCTGTATATGTATACCATCTATGTACAGGAAACAGGCAGGCATTTTGTTTAATAGTTATGGGCTGCCGCTCCCATCCAAAGGCTTGCCTCCCACCTTCTCTGCTAGTTATAGGTCGTGGGCTAAACTGGCCTGTGGTCTGTGATGGATTTTTTTCCCCCCTCCTCTCTCAGGTATTTCTTATACAACCTGATCTTTTGGGCCTGGAGGCGCTACGTAGCCCAGGAGCGAGAGAAGAAGCTGCGCTCCTGTCTTGCAGAAGTACAGGGTGAGAAAGAGATTCACGGGGGCTTCAGGGAGGAAGAGGGCCCTTGGGAGAGGCCTGGCCCTCTGCACATGCCCACTGGACTGGGGGGTTTCCCACTGCCGGCAGGGCATGGGCGATCCTAAACGTGGACATTTTAAAAGATGTGAAGGATCGAGAACTTGACTACATAAGTGTGCAACTTCTGTATACCTCATCCTTCAGCAGCAGGGAATTGTGTGTGTGTGTGTGTGTGTTTAAATGGTTCACAGCTCTCTCCCATCAGCTCTCACGTTCTTCAGAACAGTTCTTACATGGAATGGCATGTTGGGTCACCTCGTGAGCCATTCTCCTCGTGGGATCTTGCTTTTTGCTCTGAAACCCCCCTGCCGTCCTTTGGCCACTCGTCTCTTCTGGAGCCACGCTTCTAGTTCCCTCTTCCCCTTGTTGGGCTAAATGGTTTAGAGAAATGGAAGAACAGGCAAGAAGGAATAATCTGCTTGGTTTTAGTTTTTGGGGGTCCTTTTACTCTTATGCGCCCATTGAAAGCCACGCTTCTGTGTTCCTTTTTTTTTCTTGCAGCGGCGCGAGCGAGAACCCTTTGGGGCTGGCGCCGCTGGCTCAGCTACGTGGAAATACGCCGGGTGAAGCAAAGGATGCGCCTGGAGGCGCTGTGCTTCAGGGAGCAGAGCACCCTCTGGTGAGGACGGTTCGGAGCCAAAGAAGGGTTCGGTCCTGCAGAAAACACACACACACGCACCCGTTCTTTCCTCCCACGTCTTAAATCTTTTCTCTCTAACAGGGAGTCCTGGAGACGGTGGAGGAAACGGTGGCAACGGAGGCGCCTGGTCTGTGAAATGGACTCGCAGGCGCTCCGGCACTGGGCACAAAGCCTGCAGCTTCGGGTGAGCACCAGCCATGCCGGGCTTTTGAACTACGCACGCGTTGGCCGGCACAGATGAAAATGGGGCAAAAATTTTAAAAAATTGCTCCTGCTGCTGTTCCTCCCAAGAAGACCGAGGCAGCCCGGGATCCTTCCTGTCCCGCAGTAGCCAAGCCAACATCCCTAGGAAGCTGGCAAGCTGGGCAGGAAAGGGAGTGCCCTTCTTCACCTGCTTGTCTTGGGGAGGCAGAGTTGGGCTCAGGGGTTCCCTCTTGCTGGGTTTGCTCTCCAGAGCCTTTAACCAGAGATTGACCTTTTAGCCGCCAGCAGGAAACACGAACCTTTTTTTCCTTGAAAGAGGCCAAGAGGGAGGCGCCTTTGCCATCCCCATCTCCAGGAGGTGATGCTCTTTTGTGGGGTCGGGCCGGGTGATGTGATGATGGTGAAAAAGAGGGAAGGAGACCGGCTGCCAGCTAGAAACAGCCACTGTGAGGTTGTGGAGGCTGTGTGTGTGTGTGGAGTCAGCGAGGAAGGGTTTGGGTGTCCTCTCTCTCCCTCCCCTCTCTGTCCTGTTCTGTTCTGCGCTCCTTCCACCACTGGCTTTCTTTGGCCCTTCATGCCTTCACGGGTCTTCCTCCTTGCCAGGTCTGGATCCGGTGGAAAGACCTCCTGGGCCGCATCCAGAAGGAGAAAGAAGAAGAAGGCAGGGCAGCAAGACACAGCCGGCGCCGGGCCATGAGGAAGGCCCTGGGATCCTGGCGCGTCTACATGCAGGTCCGGAGAGAGAAGACCCTTCAGGCTGGTGAGCAGATTTGGGGCAGAACCATCTCTCAGGGGACGGGGTTGCTCGCCCAGGGTGAGACGGATCCGGCGGGATCCCACCCAGCCAGGAGTCCGTGTGCTGCTCCGGGGCGTGTGGGATGATAGCCAGAGATCCACCTAGGATGTCGTTCCAGCATGAGCAGGCAGAATGGAACCTCACGCCATCTACTTATGCCTTCTTAAAACCTTGAGGTCCAGCAGCCAGATCCGGGCGCCAAACATGGTTCAGACAGGATGGATGCTCTGGCACAGGGTCTGACAAATGTAGGTTTCATCTCAGAGCCGCAGGCGTCCTTTGCAGTGTGGAGCCACCACTGCTGCCTAAGTGCTTTTTCTTGATAACATCGTTGGCAGCTTAATTGGTATTTCTTGCTCGTAATAACGTGCCCGTGGTGTGAACCGCCCAGTGTTTTCCTCCGGCCTCTTGGCCCCGACACTGGCGGTTCCTTGTGCTTCTCTTTCCAGGCCTGGCTCTGGCGCACCGACATACCTGCGTGGCCCTTTGGTGCTTCTCTACCTGGCGGCGGACTTGGGAACGGAGACAGCAACTGTGGGGACACCAGGAGCGCCTGGCGCAGTTGGCAGGAAGGGTGGCCGCACGGAGGGGGCTCGCCCGCTGGAAGCAGTGTATCCCTTTCTCATGCTGCGGTCCTCTCCTGGGGCGCCGGGAGCCTCAGGGCCGATGCCATTGGGGGACAGGCGCCTGCAGAGCCCAGGGAGCAAATGCCTTGTTCCAACTGGCCCCTTCGGGGGGGGGGGCTTCCCAGGCTCAGCGGAGAGATGGGTTCAGTTCCATGGAGCTTGGTATCTACCAGGCGGATCATAACGTCCCTCGTGGCGTTCCAGTGTACAGGTGTCTGGACAGCGATCTCTAGTAACATGAGCCAGACATGCTTTTTTTCCTCTGTTGGAACAGCAGCGCTAAAAGAGATGGGCAGGCGCCCCGGTAAAGTCAAGGAGCTTATCCACGGCACGAGGGTTCAGCTGCGGTCCTGCAGCCCACACTCTCTGCTCCCCACCCGAGTTCAATCCCTTTCGGCTCAGGTTGCTGGTTTGCAGAGGGGCAGCGGCAGCAAACGGGCAGCCTGTGGAACTGAGCTGTAAACGACGCAGAAAGTGCTTGCAGTGCTATTGAGGGGGTGGCGAGGTGCATCTAAATAACAACAAGAACAACCCTTGTGAAACTCGCTGGCGCTCAGCGTTGGCTAGCCTTATCCATGCCGATGCCAAACTGCTGTCGGTCAGAGCAAGCAAAGCTGTGCTTTTCCTCAACATACGCAACAGATGTGGCGTTGCGCGCAGACTCGAGGATGCAGGATGAGCTGGCTGAGCGCCACTACGGGCGCCGGCTCTTGGTAAGAGCTCTGCCGTACCTCTGGGGGAAAGCCAGGCTCCTCCGGAAGGACGTCTGAGCTGGAAGAGCCCCTCCCTGCCTCACAGAGACCCCTCCCTGCGCCCCCACCATGGCTGTGCGCTTGCTTCTCCACACCCCGCCTGCCGAAGGGATGATGTGGGGCGAGGGATGTGCATGTGTTGCCCATGTGCTTGCACAGCTCCTGTTCAGATACGGAATGAGGCCTCCCTCCCTCATCGTGGCCGCTCTCTGTCATCGGAGGCGTCCGTCCCACTCTCGGGTATTGCTCCAAAGCAGATTACCCTCCGTGGGCCAACAGCGTCGGCTCTGGCCGGCCCAGCTTTGGGGAGAGGGGCCAGCCGGAGTCCCCGCCTGCTTTCCAAAAGTCCTCGAGAAAGTGGCTTCCCTCCATTTGTTCTGGGACCCAGGCTCCTGCTTTTCTTGCAGCGCCGTGGGCTGACAGCCTTGCGGAGGAATGTTGTGGAGGCGTCCGTCAAACAGATAAGGAGGAACCTGGCCCATCAGCAGCACCGGATTGCAGTGAGTCTGACCTCTGCATCACACCTGCAGGAGGGGGATCCCGGGATCCACCTTCCTTCCTTCCTTGCACAGACCCGCACAGTTTCGTCTCGTGCTCACAGAGTGTTCCTAGCACGCAAGGGTAAACCGAGGGAACAGAGAGGCCCCGTTCTTTGCCAAAATTCTCTGGGTCCATCCCTTGGAAGCTGTACACGTGGGGGTACATGGGGGTCCAGAGGGTGCAGGGTTCTGATGATAACGGTGAATTTTTGACATGAAAGAGGGGGCAGGCACCTGCTGCAAGACGCGTCTACTTTGCCTTGGCTCAGCCTTTTGACTTGTGTCTCTGAGAGCCTCCTTCTTCCGTAGCTCTGCTGCTGCTGCTGCGGTGGTTTCCTAGGGGGAGGGGAAAGGGCTCTGCCCGCTTCGCCTCCCTGGCTCGATCGTGGCTCTTAGGCAGCTTCCCTCGTTTTCCTTCCAGCTCTTGAAAAGGTTCTGGGGTGGCTGGAAATCTCTCTTGGAGCAGAAGGAGGAAGATCAGCTCCACTCCCTGACGCTGGCAGCAAACGCCCACTACAGGTGCTGCAGGGGGGCTGTTTGCTGGGGGAGGAGGGGTAGCAGCCCTAGAGCCCCCCCGGGGGGTGTCCCTTTGGCGCATAGGTGTTTGAAACTGTTCAGTGGTGACTCTGGGCAATGTAAAACTGTGAACAAGAGAAACATATTACAAAAAAAAAACACTGGTAATCCAACAAACTCGGTGAAAGTTAAGATTGAATTTAAAATGAAAATGAAAATCAGGCCATGGCTATAGGTGTTAAATATAGACTCTCAGCGGACTACTGAGATGGCTGAGTTTGAAAAGCCTGCTGAAATAGAGAAGTTTTCAGAGGTTTCTTAAAAGTTTCCAGAGAAGGGACCCAGCAGACTTTGGGCAGCAGGTGCGTTTCCTGAGCAGGGGAGCCACCACCGAGAAGGCCTGGATTTTTCCTTTCCTCCTTCCTGGTTTCTCCCCGGATCGGCATCCTCAGCTGCCTAGCCAAGGACATACAGGCAGGAGAGCCAGTCCCTCTTGGAAGGAGACGTTCTCCCTAGTACTGGGGTCCCAATCCATTGAGGTCTTCAGCATGCCTGGCACCTTCCTTTGTGCCTTGGAAGTGGTGGGTCCGTCTCTCTTCCCCTCCCCTCGACAGACTTGGCCCCAGTGCTGAAGAGAACTGTCCGTGGGTCTGGAGCTCCAGGGAGTTGACCCAGCAGGTGAGAGGGCCCCCCCGATAGCCTGACCTGCCCCCTTTACCTTTCAGCTCAGTGCTGCTGCGCCGATGCCTCCGGACCTGGTGCCACCACGCCAGCAGGAGACAACACCAGACGGTAAGAGGGTAGCCAAGCCCAGCAGTTCCTCTCTCTTTCTACACTCGGCCTCTTGCTCCCAAATATTTCCTTTTTGCACCTGCTGCTCTGCCTTCTACCTTCCTGAGTTCTAGCCCTTCCCTTGCTGTGCTTCCTCTCCGTTTTGTTTTGTTTATATATATAAAAAAAACAGAAGCCAGGAGGCATGTGACGTAGCTTTTCCCATCCAGGTGGACGTCATGGGCCACCAGCTGAAGACCAAGCCCTTCGCGCCTTCAAATTGAGTTTTCCAAAGTTTTCTTGACTGTTTCTTAAGGCTTAAAAACAGTGTGGCTTCCTCTCTTTTTATTTAAAGGGCAGGCTGTGTACCTATAAGTTGCCTTTCTTCAGGTGGTCAGCTGTGAATTCCCACATAGTTGGTTTCGGCGCCTGTTCTCTGGGCTGGTTTTAGAGGCTCTTGAGCATTTAATCCAGGCAGCCTTTCAGTTTTCTTGACTGTTTCTGAAAGGCTTAAAAACAGTGTGGCTTTCTCTCTTTTTTTAAAAAGGGCAGGCTGTGTACCCACATAGTTGGTTTTGGCAGAGGCTCTTGAGCATTTAATCCAGGCAGCCTTTCTGAAGATTAGCCCGTGAGACAGATGAGAGATTTAACAGGGTTCTCTGCATTTGGATAATTAATAAAGAGATGTCATGTAGCAAAAAAATATTCATTCTCATAAGAAGTGGTTCTCTCCAAGCTCGAATGTGTGAACTTAGCTCAGGATCAGACCTGGGCACTCCAGCATGTGGTCCCCTTTCCGGCTTAATGCAAGCACCAGACCAACCACAAGACGAAGAAGGGTAATTAAATGCTTTCTGTCCGAGATTTGGGCCTGCTTAGTCACTTCTAAGGCCACCATTTTCAGCAGCAGGAAGGGATTTCTGGACGTTTGCTGGGGTTTTGCTTTGTGTCTTGAGCGGAGCAGAAATTATGAAGGAAAAGCCGCTCTCTGGAGGCATGCCCCCCTCTCTGTCCTTTTACGTCTCGTGTGGGTGTGTCACCCACACACCTTTCAGGGCTCCCTAAAACCCCTTCACGGTGAGGGCTGACACTCTAGCCATCAAAACCCTACAGGGGTTCTTTTTAAGGAGGAAAGTGGGATAAAAACATTCGAAATAATACATAAATAAATCCTAAGAGTCTCCTTTACCTACATATATAAATACATATATAAATAATACCTAAATAAATCCTAAGAGTCTCCTTTACCTCCAGCTGCTGTACACCAGAGCAGAAAGGCACCACGAGAGCGTCATCTTGACAGCCACTTTCCGGGCCTGGAAGCAGTTCACGGAGCATCAGGGCTGCTGGAGAGAGAAGGAAAGGATGGCCGTCTGCTTTCACAGGTGTCCCGGGTTGTTCTCAGAAACTTGCCTTTTAATTTAAAAGAGCGCGGGGTGGGGGGATCCCCTTGGGAGAATTGGCCCCTTCCTTGCCTGAGGTCCCCTTGTGCAAAGATGGATGTTTCTTGCGGTTAAGAGAACCCCTGAGGGGGTGGTTCAACCCGCCGGATGGCAGGGGATCGGCTCCTCTCCCCCCCCCCGGGACACTGTTGCACCCTATGGTTTGGAGAAGGTTTGGTCAGCTCGCCTTTTGCCGTTAGCCGCCCACGGTGTCCTTGCGGCACAACCAGGGTTTCTTACAGGAGGGACCAGAAAGAGTATTTTCGGCAGGCCAGCGCCCTCTTGCAAGGGGCCGCCCTGTGATGGGAGGAGTGAGGCACGCAAGTCAGACTTCTCCTTTTGGCTAAGCAGCCGTCCCAGGAAGTCTGGCCTGCTTCTCCTCTGGCCCTCTCAAGTGGCCGAGTGTGTTCTCTGGCCACGTTTGTTGGCCCTTTTAAGGAGTTCTCTTGCCCCGATAACAAGATCTTGTTTCTGAGAAGCCCTCCTCTCTGTGTCGGTGTGGAGGGGGCCGCGGGGAGCGTTCCCACATGCAAGTATTTGCTTGGAGAGCTCATGGGTGTGACCCATTTTTCGGCAGGGAAACCTGGACCTGCCGCTTCTTTGAAAGATGGCGGCTGAGAGAACACCAACACCGGAAGAATCGGGCAGAAAAGGAAAAGGTAACGCTTGCCTTTTGCTTCGCCTCCTTGGAACACGGCGAGAGGATCTGGTTTCTGGATGGCTCCTCGCAAAGCAAGACGCGCATTCTGGGCAAGAGAGGCTTTTTGCAGGATCGGGCTCCCAATGGCTCCCTGGCTGTTCCCCTTCCGGGTGATGGCCTTGCAGGAAAAGCTTTTGGGTGGTTCCCAAGCTGTTCTGCGTGGCTGTCCGCTTTTTGCAGGTGTCTTGTCAAAACCTGCTAAGGTTAAGGATAACTGGCTCCCCCAGGAGTCCGACAGCAATTAATAGACCTCAGAGCTGACGAAGCGCAGACTCTGTTCCCTTTGCCTGGGAGGTCTAGCGATTGTTGTTGGGCTCCTGGGCAAGCCAGTTATCCTTATCACAGGATTTATTTTCCAGTCCGGATGATTGCAGGCAAGTTGCCAAAGCCGTGCATGGTCTCACATGTCATGCAGCACGATGCGTTGCCTGGCGTGGTGCGGCCCAGTGGCTGGCGCCCCTCTGCGGTGCAAACCCCCACCCTGTGTGTCTTCGTCTCTCCCCTCTTCTCAGGCCCTCTGGCATTCCGAGCAGTGCCTGCTGTCCCATTTTTGGTGCTTGTGGCGGAGGAGAACTCTGGCCTGCCTGGAGGAAAACAAGGCCGCTTCCAAGGCCAAAGAGCATCACCGCTACTGGGCGCTGAGGATGGCGTTCTGTCTCTGGAAGGAGAATGTTCAGGAAATGAGGAGAGGGTAAGAGGAATGGCCGCTGCTTTCCCCATCAATACCGGCTTCGGCCACGGGTGGGGACCAAGCTCTTGCAGAAGAAGGACCCGCCTCCCTTCTGACCCAGGAGATGGCCGAAGCATCTCCAACCGTTCCCGTTCCATCTTCGATAGTGGTCATTTCTCTCCCCGCTTTCCTCGCCATCACGTGGCCACCCACCCACCCACCTCGGATTGCCGTGGCACTGTTGAGACGTGGCTTTTGTGGTTGTTGAGCAGGCCTGGCCCGAGAAGTAAAGCGCAGCTGGAGGCAGGAACGCGGAACCAAGGCAGCTGATGCCATGTCTGGCTCAGATCAGACCGCCGGCTGGTTATCTGGATGCCGTTAGGGGTCCGAATCCAGAGGCAACCTGTTTGATTGAGCCTCTTCATTTCTCTCTGCCCCCTCCCGCGCTCCAAGCTGGGTGGAGGGGGGTCCAGGCAGATTCTCTGAGTGGTGCGATGGAGACCCGCCCAAAGGCCCTCTTCCTTCTGCAGGCCCCTCCCTCAAGGTGGCCTTTCTCGGGGCTCACCCTCCCCTCGGCCGAAAGGGTTACCCGAACAAGGGGAGGAGGAGCAAGGCTGATTTGTGCCCCCCCCCCCGCTGATGCCTGAGAGGGTCTCACCCCCCTTGCTTTTCTGCCTCCTAGGAGACTGAAGGAGTCCAGCGCTTCAGGGTTCCACTCGGCCCAGCTCCAGCGGCGCGCATGGGACCAATGGCGACAGGTGGGAGAGGAGCACATACACACACACACACACACACACCCCTCCGTTCACCAACATTCCCCTGAAAGTGTGCTCTGGATGGCTGCTGAGAGGGAGGGATTTCCTCGGCCGTTGGTTTGGTTTGGTTTCCCAGTAAATTTTCGGTGCTTCCTTGGAACTCGGGGCACAGCGGTTAAACTGCATTAGCGCAGCTAAGACTCTGCTCACAAGCCCAGGTCAATCTCTGGTTGCCGGCTCGAGGTTTGAGTCAACCTTCCATCCTTCTGTGGTCAGTAAACAAGAGGGCCCAGGTTGCTGGGGAGGGGGGCCAGAATGCCGAGCCCGCATCATTAAATTGTGAACTGCCCTTTAAGTAGTGCAACGAGCTTTGTATATCGGCAGCAGGCTTTTGTTTCCCTTTGAAAACAAGTGGGCTCCTTTTTTTCATCCAGGTTCCCTCACTTTTGGGCTGGGGAAAAAGTTCAGCCCCCCCCCCCCCGGGCGGGGAAGCTGCCCTCGCTTGGGCCTTTGTCTGGGGCCTGGGCCGTCCTCGCTCCAGCTGGGTCCTCTCCTGCCGATCTTTTCCTTTGCAGTATTTGAGGTACCGGTCAGAGAAGTGGAGGAAGCGAGGGAGAGCCGAGGCCCACCACCAGCGGGTTTGGTTGGCCCGCCTCTTTGACGCCTGGAAGGTGGGTGAGCCCACCTGCGGATGTTTTCTTGCGTGCCATAGACCGGGCGCCTGACCGGACCCCGTCACAGCCAGACCCAAAGCGCCAAGCCCTCCGGCATTTCTCTACCAACACGGTGGTGTTGCTCGTCTCTGGGCTGCTGGTCTCAGACTGAGGGTCTGGCCAGTCCTTCTCTTCGGGTACTTCTGCCCCAAGAGAGCCTGTTTCCAGGAATATAAAATGGGGCACCAGGTTTCCTCCCCTCTTCCATCATCACAGCAATTAACTAGGGTGGACGGGCAACCTTCCTCCTTAGCATACATCTGGCCTTTGTCCTAATCTCAAAAACCTTTGTGGTGTGATCCGTTCAGGCATCCGTAAAGCGTGATCCTTCCTTTCCCCTTCAGTCTAGTTGCAAAAGAGAAGGTGGGGGGAAAGAAGGGATTTCCAGGAGAGAGAGAGAGAGAGAGAGAAGGATTTCCAGGAGAGAGAGAGAGAGAGAGGGAGGGAGAGAAATGCAAGAGGGTGGGCAGGAAGTGGGAAGGGAAAAGGGGGGTCAGCTAGCCCATGGCCGGCCCCTCCTGCTCCCCAGTCTCAGAGGACAGTTTCCCACTTTGAACTGGCGGTCCAGTCGCCAGAATCTTGTCATATGTAATGGCCAGAAAATGCAAAAGGGAGACACACCTTGGGTTTTGAATTTAAAAGAGTGCGGGGCAGGGGTGATCTATAGACATTGTTCAGTTTTCAGCGCTCAGGTTGTTAGGCTGAGGTCTGTATGAGTCCGTTCTAGAAAACGTCTTCCTAATACCTTCAAACTCAGGGGGAAATCTGTGGCTTTCCTCCCGCAGGCCTACCAAAGCCATGTGAGGCTCATTCTGGCCCAAGTGGCTGAAAAGGAGAGAGGCCACCACCGGGCGCTTCTACGGTAATGCTCGGGAGCCTCCTCCTTCCACTCCGCGTGGCCTGGCAGTGGGAGGCTGCCCCCTGTTCTTCCGGCACCAGGTCCAAGCCTCACCCTTGCCCTACCCGGGGTCTCCTCAGAAGGAAAGGAGGCCTTTGTCAGTCAGCCCCCCCCCCAAAGCTTCGGTTGACAGGCTGGCCTTTTCCTTCCCGTCCTCAGGCAGGCCCTTCGCATCTGGAGGGAGAACGCGGCCGATCGCAAGCGGGAGGTTCGGAAGGCCGCCCAGGCCGAGCAGCAGTACGCGAGGACCCTCCTCGGCAAGGTCAGCGCCCGTAAGAAACGAAGGCTGTGCTCCTGGAGCTCAGCCAGAGGAACTCCCTGAGACAGTGAGGCCGGGGCCGCCCCATAAAAGGAAGCAATGGGGGAACCTTGTGGGCCTTGCCTGACAAATGGCATCCCTCAAAGGGGTCTCCTCCACGCAGTCCAGCCTCCACCCGGCACGGGGCGCTCCCCCCTTGACCTCCTGTCCAGGGTGCCAGAGATCCGGATAGCTCCTCTGGCTCGGCACGGGGCGCCCCCCCCTGACCTGTCCAGGGCGCCAGAGATCCGGATAGCTCCTCTGGGCCTCCCCCCTCTCCCCACCAACCCCCGCCTGCCCTTTTCTGCCCTAGGTCTGTGCAGGGCCTTCCGTTCTGCACGGGGTCTTGCAATGAAACGGGACAAGCGGGACACTGGCAGCCGGAGGAGTGGGGAAGGGGAGGGATGGCGATGGCAGGAGGAACGCCAGGGCGGCTTCCCTGCGCCAGGGGAGGAGCGGGGAGTCTGGGCGCTCCGTTCCCCATCTGGCCCTCTGGGTTTTCCCAGGGGGGCCAGAGCCCCTCTCCTCAGCGGTCTTCTAACTCTTGTCCGTCTACCCTACGCCCTGCTTCCACGCTGGAGAAAGCTGGAAATGCTCCTCTTTCGCCTTCGCTCCTGGCAGGAAGAGCTTTGAGGCTGAAACAGGCCAGGCTTTGGAACCACTCAGCCCAGGGACCGGCGGTTGTGGACCAGTCCAAGCAGGAGGGACGACATCCTCCTCAGTGCCTCCGTTTCCTCTGTCTAGGTGATGCTTCGGTGGAGGGACGCGGCCTCCCTGCGCGCCTACGCCCGTCAGCAGAAGGGGGCTGCGGTGGAGGAGGCCAGGAGACATCTGGAGAGAGGTGATGGTCCAGACGCTCCCGTAACACTTTCAGCCTGGAAGGCAATGCTTCCACGTTCAGTGTGGGGCTCCTCCTTCAGCGCTGTCTCTGCCAGCACGAGAAGGGGTGCTGGGGGGCCCTGGGCTTCCAGCGGCTGCTCACTGTCCCTTCTCCTCCTCCTTGGACAGGGAGGCTGGAGGGAGTGTTCCTCCGCTGGAGGGAGAGCTACCTGCGAGCCTCAAGGCAGAGAGGGCTGCTGGTCCTGGCCACCCACCACCGCGAGAGGAGGTTGCTGAACCAGTGCATGGCCGGGTGGAAGCAGGATCACCTCCGGCGTGTAAGGAAGAGGGTGAGCTTGCAAAGACGGGGAGCATCGGGTCCTGCTACCTTTGGCGGGCTAAACAGGCACCTCCTCTGTGTGTGTGTGTTTGTGTGTGTGGATGCACATATAACACACCATTTATCGTGTTCCTCCTCTCCTTTTCCTCCCCCCCCCCAGCTCCTGGAGAGGCAAGGGGAGCAGCTTCTGGCCCGGCGGCTTTCCTCCACCTGCTTTGCATCATGGAAGGCACAGGTGAGCTCCCACGGGCAAATGCCCCCTTCCGGCCCTGGGCCACCAAGGGGGACCCGGAACCTCCTTGGCCGTGGGGCTGATAGGGGTGACGGGGTGGAGGGACGAGCCTGCCAGGGACGGAGAGTAGGAAGTAAGAAAAAGCTGCGGACGCCTCCCTCCCTTCCCCTCGCGCACCTAAGAGGAGGTCAGAGGGGTCAACATGGGGAAGTGGTCTTCCTGCGAACGCAGCTCGCTCTTGGGCCAAAATCCAGCACAAAAATAGTAAAGGGCGCTGTGGGGTTTCCCAGTAAGGGGGGTGTTCCTTTCCTCTGCGATGGGGGCTGGGATTGTTCCTTGCAGATGTCTCAGCTCTGACCCCCCCCCTTCCTCCTCCATGGGGCTTTCTTTCTTTCCACCCCGACAGCTCGCCCGCCGGCACTGGGAGCAGAAGGAAACCGTCCGGGCGCTGTGGCATTGGTCCCGGGCGCTGCAGGGAAAGGTGAGGAGAGGAGCGTGTGAGTGGGTCTCTCTCTTTCATTCTGCACCTCCGGGAGGGCAACGATTCACAACGCGCTTGGCCAGAGCGCATTGAAAGGGAGCACCCTCTTCTCGGCTTTCCCCCACGTCCCCCCTCTTGCTGCCCCGAATGGATAATCGCACAGCTCTTTCCTTGTTCCTCGGAAGGTGCCGGCTTGATTTTGTGCTTCACCAAGTGCTGCCTTTTTTAAAAAATTGTTTCTTTAATAAAAGCATTCCCAAATCATTTTTTTTCCTGCCCACCAGGGCTCCTGAAGTCAATCACTAGATCAACAGAGGAAGGGGAAAAAGGGTCTCTTTCTTGAAAAGAGACAGAAAAGTGTTTTGTCAGTAGCTCAGTTAAGAACACAACCAGGTCAGCTTGCGATGGAGTTCCCGCGTTGGTCTGTTGGTACAGGGAACACCCGGCCTCGTGCGCCGGCCAGCTCTTCAGCCTGGCTTCTCAGGGTGGTGGGACCCCCAGTGGGGTGGCTGTGGAAGAAAGGCCCCTGATCCCAGACCGCCCCCCCACTTGCCCAGGGAACAGGAGGCAGGGCTTAATTCAGCTTGGAGGCGAGAGGCACCCCCAGGCCGCTCGGCCCCTTGTCAGCAGGAGGGTCCCGTCCCCTCGGACCAAAGCAGAAACAGCGCCTGCCGCCCGCAGAGCTGTGCCTTCAACCGAGGGGCGGCAGCAGCTGCGGGGCAGGTTTCCATGGCACACGAGAGACCTCTCGTGCCATTTCGGAGAATAAGGGAAGTGCCAGCCTCCTGTCAGGGACCGCTTGTGGTGGGCAGCCTCTGCATTTCTTAAATGATGCACCTTGCTCTAGGATCTGGGTTTTTTTTAACGAGTTCTTTGATCGTGGCCCTTTCTGGGCCCCCAAGAGCACCAGAGAAAGGCAGCTGCTGTTCCTTTCCTGCCTTGACTGCAGGTGTTGGATGCCTGGGCAGGATTTGTCCTGGAACAGCAGCGGAAGAAGGGCCGGCTGGAGAGGGCCGTGGCTGTCTACCAGGCTGACCTGCTTCGGGAAGGCGTGACCCGCATCCTCCGGTACACGGCCAGCATGAAGCAGTTTCGAGGGCAGCTGCAAGCCCAGCGCCAGCTGGAGGTAAAAGGAGGCCCCCCTGGCTTTTCTGCCTTCGTCTTCAGAGCCTTTGCAAGCTGCGCGCGTGTCCTGCTCGGCGGCCCTTCTCTCTCTTTCTCTCTCTCTCTCGTGTGTGTCCTGCTCGGCGGCCCTTCTCTCTCTCTCTCTCACACACACACACACATCAGGCAGAAGGGATGCTCCCCACATTTTCTTTGATTGACTGTTTTGTGCATCAGATATGCCCTTCGCTATTGCTGGCAAACGTTTTCCCTCTCTGTTCCCATGGAGGGAGGAAGAAGAGGTAGTTGGGGGAGAGAGAGAGAGATCCTTTCCCAGGGATGCATCCTGGCACAATGACCTCTCACAGCTGTTCCCGAAGGGACAAGGAGCTGCTCCTGGAGGCAAGGAAGCCTGGAGCAAATGGGCCCCTTCTCTCCCAGGTTGAGGGCTGGAAGCTCACTTTCTTTCCAGCCATGCAGTGCAGCGGTTAAAGGGCAGTACTGCAGTCAAGCCTCTGCTCATGACTTGAACTTGATCCTGATGGTTAGCAAGTACTGTAGCTGGCTTGAAGTGGACTCAGCCTTCCCTCCTTTTGAGGACTCCTTCCAGCAGAGGCTCTCCCTCAGAGGGGGCTGAAGAGCCCGAGCCCCCTCCCCTTGCCCCCCCTTCCGCCATCGGCAGCTTCTTTTGTGTCTGCAGGTCGCCTCTCATCGCCACCGGTCGGTCTCTCGCTGCGCCGCGCTGTGGAAAGAGAAGGCTCTCTGCCGGAAAGCCAGCGCCTCCCTCCCGGGGGCCGCACTCAAGAAGCGAGTGACGTTCCAGGCGTCTGCCCCGGCTGCCCCCTCCGGCCCCGAGAATGGAGGTCGCCGTCTGTGGCCTCTCCAGAGCGACCGCCGGCCCCTCCTTCTTCGGGCTGCTGGAGACTCTGTCCTGTCCGAGCTGTAAGGGCAACCTTCCCTGGCGTCCCCTCCCCCCCTGGGCCCCTCCCTGGTGGCTTGGCAGGTGCCGTCTCCTCCCTGATCCTCCTCTGCCCTGATCCTCCTTCTCCCTGCAGAGCTCCTTGTAATCTCCTGGGGAACGGTCCTGGGTTGGCGTAAAAGTTGTCAGATGGTGCCCATCACCCCCGAGGGATGGATGCCATTAGCAGAAGGAAAGAGCGGGCAGGGTGGGCGAGGGGCAGAGGGCGTGGGCCTGCCCAACTGCTTCGATGCACTGGGTCTCCCCTCACCCCTGACTTTCCCGCAGGGTCACCCCCGGGGGATGGGTGCCATTAGCAGAGGGGAAGAGCGGGCATGGGCCTGCCCATCTGCTTCGATGCACTGCGTCTCCCCTCACCCCTGACTTTCCCGCAGGAACGCAGCCCGGCAGTCCAGGTCGCAGCCGCGTCGACCCCACTTCCTGCATCCCTCGCTGGAGAGACGGGAATTGCCTTGGTCGGCCTGGAACGGGTAGGTCGAAACGTCCAGCTTTCTAAGGGGCTGTTTGGGGGTGGAATGCCAGAGTTTTCCTTTCCCTGCCACAAGCATTTTCTGCGGGCCTCGTTCCTGCATCGTTCACCCCCAAGAGCCTTGGCTCAAGATACCAGGGAGAGAAAAGGGATCTCTCTCCATCCAACGCAGACAGATGTTCAGTCCCCTGATTCTAGATGGTCTTTACAGCTGTGTTCACGTTCTTAGCCAAGCGGCGGCCGCTTTAATGCCCAGGTTCCTTTTCTCCCTCGTCCTCATCTTTCAGCCGCTTCCTCCAAGGATTAACCAAGGCTGGCCTTCCTCTTTCCCTTCCAGGCCAGAAAGCCATGCGGGAAATGTGCCCCGAGGATTTCCGGGGGAACCGCCAGCAACCCTGGGGGCCCTGCTCGGCTCATTGGCCCTGAGGAAGGGCGGTTCTCCTCCCCAGCCAAACGGCGCCAGTGCCCTGCTCCTTCCCCCTCCCGAATCGGCTCCGGTAGCCCTTGCGGCACCTCAGCATCCCGGCGCTTTCTGTCCAAACCCAGAGCTGCTCCCTCCCTCCGCCTTCATGAAACAGCTGGGAGAGAAAGCAGAAGCGGTGAGTGTTCTTGTGCACAAGATGGGGTTTTGCTTTGTTTTGGCCGCTGGTCCCCTGGTGCTCAGGACCCCTCCGCAGACATGCCCACCTGCTTCAGAAGGATTGGAAGCCCTGCCAAGCCCGTTCTGCCTTGGGGGGTCCCTTGAGGCAGGGGGCAGGGTGGGGTGACCTCTTTCAGCCTCAGGGCAGACGAGGCCAAGGCAAAAAGGGAGAGGCCTCCTGAGAGAATGGCTTCTCCCAGCCGAGGCCCCGTCCGCGTTCCACGAGGGGCAGGAACCTGGAGAAAAGGGGGCTGTGGGGAAGGGGGACCCCAGGAGGACTAGGCTGGGCTCCCTCCACCCCACTGTAGGCTTGCTGTGGGGGCCTCCTGTCTGTCCCCAGGGCTCAGGGGGCTTCCCTCCCAGCTATGAGTGGGGGTGAGCAGAACGGTGACCATGGGCTCTTCCTGGTTTTCAGGGGGAGCCTTCCTGTCTTCAGGGCGGACGGCCTGTGGGGAGCCCTCCCTGTTCCACACCCGGCAAGACGCAGGCAGCGGCCGGCCTCGGCACAGATTTGCTGTTGCCCGGAGGTTCTGCCAGGAGAGTGGGCCCTCTTCCCCTTGCCGAGAGATCAGGTAACAGGGCGGTCTTGGAGGCCTGCTCCTTCCCACGTCCATCCAGGAGGTGACCGACTGCTTTTCCTGAAGACTGGTCCCGGCTTCTTCAGGACAAGAGCCTGGGGCGTGTTTTGAACACCCAGGGAGGGTGGACGGGGGGGGGGAGAGACCTCCTTCCCCTCTCCACCTCTTTGCCTCCCTGCTTGGTGCAAGGAAACCTGTTCCAAAGCATCTGCCAGCCTTCCTTTGCAGGCCGTGAGGTCTCTGTACAGGAAATGGGGGGGGGCTCTCAGTCTGGGTGGGAGCTGTGGGGGGGGTCTACTGTGATTTGGCCCTAGAGCGAGCCCCGTGTGCTTCGGCAAGGGAGGCAGGTGCTGCTGGTGCGGGAAGGCTTGTTCTGTGGGAAGCAGCCTCCAGTCAGGGCTCCTGTCAAAGCGGCATCGACCGCAGGCGGGCAGGCACCCCTTCCGGCGTGCTCTGAGATGGGCTCTCCCTCCAGAGGGAGGGAAGCTGTGGGGCCTGTATTGAATCTGATGGCTCTGGAGAAGGAAAAACAACCGCCAGACAAAATTGAGCCGCTTTTATCTCCTCTCTGATTTTAGGAACCAAAGTGCAAGAGAAAGAAAAGGGTCTTAAACAGGAGCCGGAAGGTCACCGACCCCTTGAGGCAGAGCTGAGACTCATTGGGCAGAAAATGCAGGCTCATTACGAGAAGCAGCAAGAGCTGAGGTGGGCGGGCCGCCCCTCCTTTCCGATGGACCCTTCGGCCCTTGAGCTGAGACCCTCCCCAGCTTTACGTCGCACGTAACAGCCTGTTAAGTCCCCATCTTATCCACAGTTTTGTTCTTCGGTGGCCTGACTGAGCAGAGCCACAGAGAGGCGCCCACCTCGGAGGGCCTTGGGAGGAGGAAGGGGCTCTCCTTGACCTCCCAGGCAGGTTTAGGGAAGAGGAGAAAATCGCCCTGGGTCCTGCGGAGGCGGTGGGCGGGCTCTGGGGAAGCCAGGCAGGCCCGGAGGCCCCAGCCTCTCTGGCCCGGATGCTCCCCACCGCAGAGGAAACCTTTCCCCTTCTCCTTCCAGGTCCTGCCAGCGGCAAGAGCGCATCCTGTGTAAGTGGCTAGAGGTGGGCCCGGGGCCCGAGGAGCAAGCAGAGGGGCAGCGAGTGCGAGAAGCGCTGCAACAGGTACCGGAACCAAAAAACAAAACAAAACCACCCTGGGAGGGGCTGGCTCAGGGCAGGGGAGGCACAGCCAGTTTGGATGGCGCCCGAACAGCGGCTCGGTGTTGGGATTCTGAAACGTGGCTGGGTTAAAGGTTAAACGCTACGGTCTGATGGTGCCGCAGGCCGCCGCCACCCCCCTTTCCTCTAGGCTGAAGCCTGAGCCAGGCTGCAACCTCCCACCCCCTGCGTGAGGCTCCCCCTTCCCTCTTTCTCTGCAGCTCAAAGTCCAGATCGACTCCCTCAGGAAGGACCTGGACGGAGAGCATCAACTGATGCAGCGGTACCTCGCCCGGGTCAAGGACATTCGACGTATTCTCAGTACCTGAATACCCGGAACGCGGTGGCGTGATAGGCAGCTCGTGGGCTGACCGGAGGAGCCACCCGTCCAGTTAGGCGGTCCTTCCACGCACCCGTACAAAAAAGTCCCACTGAACTCCGTGGGACTTACTTTTCCACGGACGTATCTACGATTGCACGACCTCGGCCGCAGGTCTTTTCCCAGCAGCCAACTGCTTTTAAGAGTGCCTTTAAAAAGTCAAGCAGAATAAAACATTGTTTTTATTTATTTTAAAACATTTTCAGTTAATGAATTAATGTCTGTAAGTTGTACATTTTGACATACAAAAATACTGTGCTACTGATACAGTTGAAAAAATTAAATAAGATTCTCCGTGCAGGAGAAAAATCACCACATCACCAAGGCGCCCCTTCCCCTGGGGGGGGTTCAGGGTCAATGTGACCTTCTGTGCCTCTCTGTGGTCTTCAGCCTGCAGAGCCCAGCCCCAGCTCCCTTGTCGGTTTGTCCAGCAGGTTCTTCTGCTTTCTGAGCAACCAGGAGGAGAGTTCCTTGACAGCTAGATTAGCCGATGAAGGTGGAATTGAAGCTGCTCGGAGTAGTCTTGGCAATGCAGCCTCAACAGAAGTGGTTAACCCCTCTGAGTTGCTTGCTGGGCCCTGCCCTCGATCGCCATCCCTCGGCCAGTTGTGCCTTTCCAGATGCACTAAGGTAGCCACTGGCCCTTCGGCTTACATTCTCAGGGTAAAAGAGGGCAGCTTTTGGGTGAAAAAACCCCCACCGTTAACCACCCTTGACCTGTGTAAACAAAGGATGCCCAGGCAAGAGGGAAGGCAAAGTGACCCCTGCATCCATGCCTCAAAATCACACAGAAATTCATAGAGACCTGCTCTTTTCTGGGTGTCCTACTCATGGTCTTAAATCTGTATCCGCTTCTTCTATGACAGGGGTGTTCATTTGAAGGCTTATTTCAAAAACGAGATGGATTCTACACTCCCACCTACCCACCAGTCCTTGTCCCTGTGCACAACCTGGTTTCTTGAGGTTCGCATCCAGAGCACGCCTGTGACATAATAGGGTGCATCGTTTCTTACTCTCCCCCCCAAAAATGGCACTGCGAAGATAAGGCTCCCACTGTTGCTCCTCTGAGCATAAATTGGACATTTATGGAATGAAATGTTTAGAACAGAACTCTTGAGCTGGCACAGGCAAATTTGGCTTTCTGAAGCAAGCTGCCGAAAGGTTTTGCAAATCCAGGGAAGAATTTTCTGAAAATCATAGCAGCATGTGAGGAGAAAAGGAAAATTGCTCAAAGGTTTCCAAACGGTTCTTTAATAGTCTGTCCTCCAGCTATTTCAATCCTGCAAACTTGCAGATGGTTTTCATCCCGGGCAGCTGTGACTTCCTTCCCCTTCTCCTGCTCCTGGTGACTCGGCACCAGCGGCCCCAAAAAGGGAAGCAGGCTCCAGCCAGCTTGGGCCACCCCCAGAGACTTCCCTCCACCTCTGCACAGAGAAATTAAATGCATGCGTACTTCTCACGTCTTAAGCTTAACGAAGGACATTAGCTACCTCCTGTACGAAACAGCGTGGTAAGGCCCAGAGTAGCAGCAAGAAAACGTTATAGGTCTAGAGAGTTAAGAAGAATTACAGGTGGAAGAGGCTTCCCTCCAATGAAAATATGAACAAGGTCAAGTCAAGTGTGGATTGCGAACACAGTGCTTGAGGTTCAAAGTTCAGTGCAAGCTTCTGCTTTAAAGGGACAGAACCAGACCTGCAACAGATGCCTGAATAAAATGGGGGGGGGGATTCCAGCTGAACTGAAAAATCTGTCACGATGACTTGACGGAATCTCACTGCTTGGATCCTGGACTGCTCGGCCAGGAGTGAAGCTGGAATGTTGGATGTCGGTCTGCTGCTATCCCTTTAAAGGAGGAGGCACGCCGCTTTCCTCCCTCCCTCTGGCTGCCAGGCCCTGGCTCCAGGCAGAGGGAAGGAGAAAAGCCACCCTGGTCAACATGCTTAAAGGCCACGATCCCTGATATGTCTGCAGCTCTCTGGGTGGCCATGCCCTGGCGGCACCGTTTCGGCCTTCTTCCGGAAGAAGGGCGCCTTTTGTTTTCTCACTCAGGTCCCGCTGAGCAGCACTCCCACCGCAGAGAAGCTTTTCCTTTTACAAACCGAGTCTCTGTTGTGTCTAAAAAGCTGCTCCCATTTCCCAGCACGGGAGCCTCTAGAGAGATCCTAAGGCCTCCCCGAAGCGGATCTTCTGTCCGGGCTTCACGTAGAAGCTGAAGTCCTTGGGCGCTTCAAAGATGAGGACGATGGTGGAGCCGAGATTGAACTCCCCTAAATGTTCCCCCTTCCGCATGGGGATGCCCTCGTGGTTGTTGCTGGTGACGAAGCTGAAGTCGTTGTAGGAACCTTTGCTGTACTGGGGGCTGTTGGTGCGCAAGTCCTGCACGGGGAAGGGAAGGGAAGGGAGCAGTTACCGAGGCTCTCCTGAAGGTCGGCCACGAGTGCAAGAGGCAAGCCATTCCGACAGCCTGGTACTCGTCTGCTGCTGACTTAGTTGTTCAGGGGGACAAGGAAACAGGTGACAGCTTCCTCCAGGGAGAGAGAAGAGCACCCTTTCCTCCAGAGGTGGAAAGAGCACCAACAGAGCTGAGCCAAGAGACTCCAGCAGGGGCCCCTGCCTCTGGGGAGTTCTTCTGTCAAAGCACCAAAGGCCCTCTGGACGTAGATTTCCAAGGTCCATCTGCCCCCCACAACCATGGCTATTTGTCAAGAATGATGGGTTACCTGGGGGCAGCCACAGGGCTCAAGTGTCCTAAAAACATCACACACACACACACACACACACACCCAGCCTGAATTGTGTGACAAGACTCGCTCTGCCTGAATGCCGCTGCTCCCCCCCCCCAAAGCAAGGTTCCCAGCGGTCTGTCTCACCTGGTCAAAATAGATGCGGATGGATCCCACGTTCTGAGCGCCGACGGCCGTCAGGGAGAAGAAGCCGTGTTTCCAGCAACCGCTGAGGACGACGCGCTCGTTGTGGCAAAAGAGTTCCTTGATCCAGCGAGCCACGCCTGGATTCACAGACATCAAGGAGCCTGCGGGCAGCAGGGAGGGAAATGAGCCTCCAACGGAAGCAGCTGGAGGGCCGCCGTCGCCCACCTCTGGGTTCAGTTGCTGCCAAGGTCAGTTAAAGAGCCCCAAGACCAAGAACCGCACGCGCTGCAGGAGGTTGGTCCACAAGGGCAGCAGAATCAAAGGGGTTCAATTACGAGAAAGGTTACGTTTGAGATGTGAGAAGCACCGAGACTGGGTATGGTTTTTATATTTTAATTATTACTTCTTTTGAAATGGCAAATTTGTTCTGGTGCCCGTTAGATACAGAACTTCCATTGCACTGTTCACGCAATCCCCAAGGAAGATCCAGGAGCAAAGGGAGGCAATTCGAGGAAGTGGGACTCCCCCAAGTCAGCTGACAGCTGCCTTTCAAGAAAATTAAAGTGGGCAGGGCCTCCCACCCACCCCACCCCACTCCCTATGGATTCCAGAGACAGGCCAGCAGGCTTACCGGGGAAGTGGCGACGATGAGACACTTTCCAGTCGGTGGGTGAGTGGAAACAGTGGTAGTCCCCTGGGGCCAGGTAAATCACACAGTGATAAAGTTCATTGCTATCCTTGGTGACCAGCTGCTTCTGGAAGGAGTCATGGCAGGAGACTGGAAGAAACCAACAGAGGGAACGGCCTTTCAAGACCCAGCACAGGAGCAGAGAGAGCTACCGGGGATCCCATGAATGAGGGATCTGGTCCAAGTATTTCAGGATGGTCCAGAGACTGAGATCAGCAGGCAAGGCTGGGCTTCCAGGGACCAACAAGGTTGTCTCCAGAGGGTGGGGAGGGAACCGGAAACCCACAGCCGATAAAGCAAAAGAGATGCACTGTCCTTCCACCCTTAGAGGAGTCCTACCAAAAGCTAATGGCTGCTTTGTGGGGTTGTGCTTAAAACAGCCATAAGCCACATTTTAACATTTGCAAAGAGAGCACCACGCCGCCACCAGCAAATGCCCTTTCCGCTGAAAAGGGGCATGTTCTGCCCATCATCCTAGGAGGCGGTGCCTTCTCAGGCAAGTCCTACTTTGGGGAAGGTATTTATCTTGTTTATAAAAACTGCATGCACCTACACACCTACGGAGTGCCCCGTTTCCCACGGAAGGTCTAGAAAGAGAGAGCTACCCTTGCCGGGTCTCTACGGAGGCTGGCCACACTGGGAGCAGCCAGCCACCCTCTGCGGCGGGCCCCTTCCCACCTTCCAGAGGGCCTGCCTCCTCTAGGGGTCACCGGACAGAGACACTCAGGGGATACCAGGATGGTTGGAGTCTGCAAGCAGAATGTGCAGGGCAAGGCTGGGCTAGGGAGGAATGGGAAGAGAAATACAAGAGGCAGCTAATGAATAGCGCCGTGTGTCAAAGAGCCCAAAAAGAAAGGTCCTCAGTAAACAACAGCCCAAATTAAGGATGCTGGAGTATCCTGTACCAGACTAGCTCGCTCCCCCCGATTCAAAATCCGCCCCACCCAGCCCCCAGCTGTCCTGAAGGATGTGACCCTTGAAAAGCCCAGAAGACACGCAGAGAGGGCGTCCCAGCCAGAGGGGAAGGCACGGGAAAGGGGCGTGTGCGCCGGGGTGCCGAGGCCACTTACGGGGCTTGCCTTTGGAGCTTTCCTTGTTGGTGTGCGGACCGAGGAAGGACTCTAAGGAGTAAGTGATGCCTTTCACTTGCTCCACTTCACAGTTCTTCACTTGTCCCAAACTGAGGATCTTGCCATCGGACGGGCTGATCTGCAGGGAAGACGCAGGGAAAAGAATTCTCACCTTCCCGTTTCCCACCACCCCTTCTTTAATCGGCAACAACCCTGAATAAAAATATTGTGCTCATGTTATCCTACACGTGGCTCTAAGCCAGTATGCAAACACGACAAATACAGCGAATGTATTATCGCAATAACCTTAAAATACAAAGGTAGAAGTAAACAGCCCTAAAATAGCATACAGTGACATTGTTTTCCCCAAATGGATATCAGAGGGTTTTTTCCCCCTTTTTTCTTTTAAACCACCTGAAAGGGGAAACTTAGGAAGCTGCCTAAGGTATTCTCATGCTTTGGGTCTATCTAAGCGCACAGTGTCCACCCTGACCGCCAGCCAAGGCTTTCCTTGCACTCATTCTCCATACAGGAGATCTTCTGGAATCTGACCGTCAGCCATTCTCACAACATGCCCAAGCCAACATAGACGTTGCTCTTTCAGTAATGTATACATGCTAAAAGTTCCAGCTCAATCTAGGACTACTCTATTTGGAGCTTTGTCCTGCCAGGTGATACTGAAAATCCGTCGGAGGCAACGCATATGGAACCTGTTCAGCTTCTTCTCCTGCCGTGCACAAAAGGTCCAGGACTCCCTGCAGGACAGGAGTGTGCTCAGGACACAGACTCTATAGATCTGGTTCTTGGTCTATGCCGTCAACTTCTTATTAAGCCTTACTCTCTTTGTGAGTCTCAGCAGAGGACCAAATATAGCGGACTGACCTCCTTGCCCCCGCAGAAGGCATGAGGGGCCTTTCTGAGTGATTTCCTCTTTAAAATCCAATTTTGAGGAGTGAGGGAAGTGGCAGTCCCACAGCACAGATGGCCAAAGAGCTACAGCTCCCGTTACGCCCACGTGCCAGATTTCACACAGCCACCCACCCCTGGTTCAAACCAAGGGCCACCTTCTCCCCCAGCCCAGCCCAGCCGGCTTCCCACACTTCTCTGCAACTTACCACACTGTGGAAGCCGCAGACCGGCCGGGCCTGGGGTTTCAGTTTCCGCCTGAAAAACTCGCTGAGGTTTCGGTAGTGATGGAGGTCTTCCACCGCCGCCTCCTTCATGTTGACCCCAAAGGTCCAAATGTACAAGCTCAGCACAGGCTTCCGCAGCCAGGTGGGCAGCTCGACGCTGTTCAGGCGCCCCCAGGCTCGGGAGAGGAGTCGCGTGGGCACCGATTTGTACAAAGAGACCTGCAAGAGGAGAAGCAAGAGGTGAAAGGCGGGCGGGCAGCGTTCCGTATCCGCCTCCTGCTTGCTCATCCGAAATATCCTTAGAGCCTCCTTATTATTGATTGATTTAAAATATTTACAGTATGCCCTGCCTTCTCCTCAAGTAGATGTTTGTATGGGGTCTTTAAAAATCTAAGGAAAGTTGTCAAAGGTGGCAAGGAGCTGGTTATAGGAAAGGATTACCCTCCCACCCGCCTTCCACTGATAGACAGAGAAAGGAAGACTGGCTATAAACAGAGGCAATTTAAGGCTAAATTAAATTGACCATTTGGGCAACATGGGGGGGGGGGGGGGCTCCTGTTTTGCTTTAGTACTGAAAAGCTCCTAATCTTAATTTCTCTCCTCACAGTACGAAAAACATAAAACAGGAAATTAGGCACAAACACCCTGCAGACAAACACAGAAACAAACACACAGAAATGCCCACCCAACAAATATTTCTTCCTTCCGTCCGAAACTCCTGGGACTGTCCTCCCAAGGCTCTAGCCCGCTTCCCCATCTTTGGCAAAGAGGGAAAGGAACCCCCACTGCCTCCTTGGTACAGAGATACTCTGATCCTACGCCAGCCTTAAGGAGGACGGGCTGGGGGAGCTTTTACCGCACAACAGCGCCAGCCTCGTTCAGGGAGGGGCCCCGATCCTTAGCATATCCCGCAGGCACAGGGTAGTCTGCATCCACCCTACGGGGCCGTGGGATTTCTCGGTTGGGGAGGGCAGGCCTTTGAATGCTCTGCTAGAGAAGCTCTTGTGTACTTTCCAGCATTTATTTCAGCACAGGATTCAAAGTTCCTCGGCCACACACTAGAAATCCCATGACTCCCCAGGACAAAGACAGGACAGCCAAGGTGGCCTCCGAGGGATCCCATGTGCAGTTCTATTATCTTCGACAGGCCACCCTTTTTCTTTCTCCCTACTGCCTCTACCCTCCTTGGTCTAATACAGACAGTCCATCAAGAATGGCGAGACAGGCTTGCTAAGCAGTGGGCGGCTGCTCTTCCTACCTGGAGCCAGACCCACAGAATCAACTGCCAAATTATAAAAGGATAAGGGGAACCCCACTGGTCTAATGACCAGATTGCGTCTGCAGGAGCTCTTGCGGGACTTCCTGTCTTTTAACAAGCCTTCAGAGGCATCCAGCTGGAAGGCCCACCTCCCACCCACGCCTCTCTTCCTGGGTGGACCTCCCCTGTGTTCTCGTTTCAGCGACGAGCAAGAACACTCGGGGGAGCATCCTGGGCGACTTCCTTCCAAATGGAAGGAAGTCGCTCAGGAAAGCCATCTGCGAGCTGTGGGCAATAATTACAGAACAGAATGTGCGCCATGTCCCTGTTCCTCTTCCCTCTGACGCTGAGCACGAAATGGATGCCACTCAGCCGTAGCCTTTCATGAGCAGGAATACGGGCGCCTCTCCCTCTCGAGTCCAGAACTGGAAGCTCCTCAAATGCACACACTTGTAGACCTGAATCTATACAAGCCAGTTCGGTGTCCCTCCCCGTGAGGAAAGTGGACGACCACTCGCATCTCCTCCTCCAGAGGTTTTGCAGTCCAAGAGGAAGGAAGGGCCCAGGCATGAAAAGGAGTCCTGGGCGCATTTGGTCTGACCAGCCCAGGCCAACGGGGGGGGGGCTCGGGGCTCCTTGAAGTCCTGCCCCTTTGGTCCCGTTATGGGCAGGAAAGGGGCTGAGGAGAAGATGGGCTACAGACTGGCTCTCCGGGCCTCAGGAACAGTTCAGCTCTCCTCAAGGCCAAAAGGAGATGACCCCTCTTCAGTCATGTCCGCCTTCCTCTACCTCCTCCTTTCTTTCTTTCTTTCTTTCTTTCTTTCTTTCTTTCTTTCTTTCTTTCTTTCTTTCATGTGTTTTTTTACCAGCTGCTCTGCTAATGTCACAACAGAAAGACTGAGGAGAAATGTGGGATGCAAGCTATTGCTCTGTCTCCTGCAAGGTTAGGCAGCAGAAACACTGAATATCAAATAGGATGGGATGTAGGTCAGGAGAGGGAGAGAACCGGTTAAACAATTTTGGGATAATCTGGAGTTAGCAAAGCCTGACAAAATTGCTGTAGCTAATTCCTTTAAATCCCCTCTCATTAATCCTGGAACTTTGGCATTCCTCTCCAGGGACACTAAAAGTAAAGAAAATCTCTGTGGAGAGCAGGAGGAAATGGCTGAGATTTGAAAGAGTCAGTAAGCTTGTAGGTTGTTTAAAAAAGGGGGGGGGGGTTTAAGGAAGAACCGGGCATTGCCAGTGACAGAGAATGGATCGGCCAAGAGCCAACAGCAGCAAGATAATCCCCTGCAAGGTAAGGCTCTTGTGTTCGTCAGATTCGTCCCAAGTTCATGCACAATTTGAGAGAGGGACTATTTGCTGAAAGGGTGGAAAGGCTAGGGAGGAGCTTTGAACACCCAGACAGACATGCGCCTCTCCCTGCCCCCTGGAGGAGTCACTGCCTCTCAGGGGTGTTGGGAGGCTACAGAAGGAAGAAGAGAGCCAGGCACACACACAGTGCCCCGAGGGGAGAGGAGGAAAAGCTGGTCTTCAGCAAAAGAAATCAAGGATACCTGCCTGGAGACCCAAAGCCAACAAGCATCAATGCACACCCAGCTTCCAAAGAGCCTTCCTGAAGCGAAGAGGCCTTTCTTCTGAGTCCGAAGGCTCAGCATGGTGCCGTGAAGTGGTGTGGGTCAAAGAGGGCTCTTTCCCTGCAGACCCACGTAGGAGCCCCATGCAGGGTCTGGAGCCCCACGCACGGGGTCCTCTCCTCACCCTGCAGGTGGAGACACGTCTTGCAGAACATCAGCCACGGAGAAGCCCACTTGGCAAGTTCCCAGAAGTGGCCACATGGTCCGTTTTTTAAAAAAGGGTCCATGGTGGACTTACTCATTTATGGCTAAATGGTCAGCTGGGTTCCGTTCTTGGGTCAGCTCTGTTTTGTGATAGCCTAACCTAATTTATTTACAAAGGCGTGTCGAGTGCTTGGAGACAATCCAGAAGAAGAAGAAGAAGAAGAAGAAGAAGAAGAAGAAGAAGAAGAAGAAGAAGAAGAAGAAGAAGAAGAAGAAGAAGAAGAAGAAGAAGAAGAAGAAGAAGAAGAAGAAGAAGAAGAAGAAGAGGCAGGATAGGAACTTTTCAGCAGAATAAAACGCACATCATGGAAATACTAGCCAGAATTGCTCAGAACATCTCATATACAACTCAGAAGAGCACCCAACTGGTTTTAAAGTCTCACTCAGAAAAGTTCTTAAGGCCGTCCTCTTGATGGGAGGGAGGGAAGAAGTAAGGAAGGCCCCCTCTGTGGTGGCACGGCACCTGGGGCCGACTCACACTTTCAGCAGGAGGATTACCAAGCAAGAAGTGAAGAAGAAGCAAGAAGTGGCTTTCCCCATCCACCAGGAGACCTGGGGCACTGGGGACAAGCCTGGCCCCATCTGTTGGCCAGGAAAAGAGGCAGGCAGAGGGGCCCACGACTGCTACTCTTCCCGCCTGCCTGCCTGCCTGCCTGCCTGTCAGGAAGAATGCTCTGTTCTAACTCAGGCTGCTCCAGGACTCTAGAAACCAGTGGTGGTGGTGGTGAGGATGCTTGAGTTCCACCCCACGTCCTGCTGCAAATGAAAAGAGAAGCGCTGTCGAGAGAAGAACCGCTTGGTCCCTTCCAGACAGAAATGCTCCCTTTGCTGCTGGCACTCCACCCCCACCCTTGCAGAATTAGGATAAGGGGGCTGTTGTCCCAGGCAGGCAACCAATCGGCCCCCAACAACTCAGACAACCCAAGCGAGAAAGCAAGCTCCTTTAAGGGGACACCTTAAAGGCTAACCCATTGGTTGTGGGTCAGCTCTCATGGGCCAGAGTCCATTCCATCACCTTGGCTGTCTACGGCACCGTTTCTGTGCTTAGTGCCACCGGTTGCCGCAGCTACTCCCACAGACCTGCTCCTCCTGCTGAGGTATATCAGTGGCGGCTCGCTACTGGCAGAGTAATGCCAGGCAAGCAACAAGGGCGCTGTTCCTAAAGGAGGAAGCGGGAGCCCAGGGAGAAACGCATGGCACTGCCCAGCAATCAGGGCCCCGAAACAGCAGCCTCCCACCATCATGGCCCCTCCTGCTGCCTGAAGAGCAGGCCAGTGGGCGGCTGTGTCACTGCACATGATTTCAGGAAATCCAGTGTCCCAAATTAGGAGGTTTTAAAATAAATGTCCTTTCTTGTCTTGAAGGAGGATATTTCTGTCACTCATCAGAAAATCCTGAAAAGAATAGATGCAGGATGAACCTCAAGGGGAGCGAGCAACGAGTTTTCCTTTCTTGGGGCTGCCTGAGGATCACAAAGAGATCCGCCCCTTGCAAGCACTTCCTTCCCCTTCTGTTCAGCTGAACTCCTGCTCTGCCCGTGGGAAGCCAGGAGAAGCCTCTCTCTCTCTCTCTCTCTCTCTCTCTCTCTTTGGACAAAACCAATACCCAACATATTGAAGAGAAGGGAAGCACTTAGTCAATGAATCGCCCCGGTGGCCCCTCTGAACCCACCGTTCTCTCTCACAGTTGAGTTAACACCTGAAAGGGGTATTTGGAACAAAATAACAAAGCTCATGTGGCATCTTTAAGAGTGGTGGCTCCAATGAGAGCGTGAGGCTTGGAAACTGAAAAGCAGATGTTGAAAGCAGGCGGCACAGGGGAAAGAGGCCCTTCCGTGGCCGCCCGGAAGTCAAACCTGCCACTCTGCTCAGCACAGATGGCATCTCCAAGACAACCAAGCTCCGTCAGGATGGCATTTCTGAGAAATGGGGGCCAGGGAAGGAGCAAGAGGGAGGGGGAAATCAGGTCTGCCATCTGAGCAGGAAAGGGGCCCAAGCCGCTCTGTCTCTCATACAGGCTGAAACTGACCCGTTGAGATGGGAGGGTCAAGAGCGTCTCTCAGCTGTCCAAACCTACATCATAGGAAGGATGTAAGGGTAACGTTGTCGGAGCATGATTTAAGTGCCACCCTGAGCTCCTTGGGAAGACAAAGGTTACAGTCAGAGGCTCAATGGAATTCAAGCAGATGCAATGAAATCCAACAGGACTTTAGCTAGTGGTAGGACCTGCAGGAATACCATTCATTTTGGTGGGTCTACTCTAGTTGGGGCTGAAACTGAACATGTTCCCACAACTCCCTCCTTTCTGTTTAATTGAGCCTTGGTAGAGATTCAAAACAAAGATCGAACGAAGGAAGAAGGGAAGCTTGAAAGGAACCGTTGGTTCCTACTCCTACCCTTTACAAAGATCAAGCCGATCATTTTCTGCAGGTAAAGGTTCCTCTTCACCTTGTTATCTCTGGCTAACGTAAAAGGAAGGTGCCACAAGAAAGGCCTCCTGCTTCAGAATTCTTTCCACCCCATAAAATCACAGACTAAAATACAGATGCAACGTCCCCACAACCCCAGGACGGCTCAGGCACAGTCCAGTTTGGTTTTTCAGCAGAAGAAAAATATTTCCCCCAGCCCTTGACCTTTTCACCGACAGGTTCAGCAGGAGGGTCCGGGCCCAACAACAGCAGCGTTTGCACAAGGCGACACAAAGGAAACATGGCTGGGGTGAAGCCACCAAAGCTGCTTTCCCCCTCGGCAGCCCCCAAACCACAAGGGAACAAACCATCTCTTTCCTCCTTGCATGGCAAGGAAGGGGGCCTGGCTTCGCATGAGTTTCAGCTCACCCTCACTCCCTCTGTGGAGTCTGCGCACCATTTCTGCTCACAACCGAGCCACCTGCCTCATGTGTGACATTGCCTGCTAAACGGAAAACCTCCCCAGCCGCAGAAGCTTTGCTACAGACAAGACGACGACAACACAAACAAGACATGAAAGACAACGAGAAGCCTCCCCTGACTTCTCTCTCCTTCGCTGCAGGCTAGGCCAGCTCCAGCCTCTTCTGCTCTCCCTGCCCACGGGCATCCCTCCTCCTCCTCCTCCAGTCAAGGGTCCCAGAGCAGCCCCGTACAAACCTGCAAGCACTTACCCTGCTCATAGGCCTCCATCTCACTCTGGTCAAGGGTTTAAGAGCACCAAAAGGCAGAAGGTAATAGAGAATAGTCAGAGGCCAAGAACGGAGTTTCAGAGCAGGCCTAGACATACAGCTCAGCTGGCCCAACCTCCGCCTCAGGGCCAGCTGGGGAAATTGCAACCTGTAGGATCACACACACACACACACAAACACACAAGATGGTCAGCGCCAACCCGAGTTGCCATGTGCTGGCTCTTGAGAACCACCCGCTTGCAGCCTCCCGGCAGAAACACCTTCCCCGAAGCAAGCATCCAGACCGCCTCAAAACCAAGCCTGAACTAAACACAACGTCACTGCACCAATGCACCCTCAGGCTCTGGTTCTGTTTTTAAAAGGGGGGGGGGAATTGTCTTGTAAGGGGAAGCTGGTAGCTCCCTGGTCCACACTCGAGGTTGGAGACGGTGTTGGTAAAGCCTTCTCCCACCACGCCCAGGACAGCCAGCAAGGGCTGCTGTGAGACGAGACGAGAAAGCACCCGGGAACCCACCCACGAGGACTCGGAAATTGCCAGCCACAAAAAGGGAGCTGGGATGGGGAGCTAGAGAGGGCATGGCTCAGCCCAGATAACCCACGGCTGGCTGGCTGGCTGGCTGCAGTCCCTCCTAGGCCGCTGCAGGATGAAGTCAGCATGGCCGGCAGCCTTCTTCCCTTGGGGCACCCTGGACAGGGAGCATTCCTGAGGGCCTCTCCAGGAAATAACCCCTTCTTTGCTATGATACAAGAGAGAGGCACGCAGCCCCCACACGGCTGGCCCCTCCGAACACGAAGCCTCAGCAGCAAAGCTGCAGCGGAAGGGCCTCTATGGATGCTGTTAACCGTTAAGAGGTAGCCAGATGGCAGCCCGGGGACAGATCCTTCAGCCGTCTCAGTGGCACACCTTTTTCTCTTGGCTGGCAACTTCCATGATGGTCTAACTCGCGGCAGGAATGGAGGGGCAGCAGAACACGTCATAGGGAACTGGTGGGAGCGGGGACATCCTCCCCATTAAGAGAGACGAGACACGCTCTCTCTCTCTCTCTCTCTCTCTCTCTCACAGGACAGTCCCATTCCCCTAAGACCACACAGGCCCCTGCGATGTAAAGGGACTGACCCCACCACTGATTCTGAAATGGGTGCGTAAGGAAAACAACAGCTCTCCCTCCACCTCTCATGTAACTTAGCTCCAGGGCTGGAGCCAAAATTCAACCCACATTCACTCTTCTCGAGGGAAGGCACTTCAACCCCGTGAGCCTTACCCAAGGGACCACCTGGTAAGCCTCTCCCTTGCCAGGACATTCCTTTGCAAAGACTACCTGGAGCCTGGCGCTGATGGGGGCGGGGGGCAGGGAACCCTGCTTGTTTGCTGATGCCAGGATCTGGGCTGAGACTGAAACATCAGGAAGAGGAGAGTCCTGAGCCGATCTCCCTGAGGACTCCCAAAATTTGCAACATGCCAAAGGCCCAGAGAGGCCGTTGGGTTAAGACTGCCAGCCGGTGGGGAGAGGGCGTCCCTCCGAGGCCACGGGGCTCCTCTTCTCTCGCCTCCTGTCTCCGTCTCCCCCCTTTTCACTGCAGACGACGACAGGCCAATCCCTGCAGAGCTGCAGCCTGGCAGCTAGTCGTAAAAAGCCTCTTGCCTGCCACCCCCTTCACAGCCTTGTTTTCTAAAGATTTCCACTCCAGCCCACCCACCTGGGCCCGCTGGCCCCATTCCTCTCTACAGGGCATGAAAGATTGGGGGGGGAACCACCCCTGGCTCCACTGCCTGCCTCTCCCCCACCCCACCCTCTCCTCCTCTGCCAACCAACTCTATAAAGAGCTTTAAAGCAATTAGGCCAAACAAAGGCTTTGCAGGCAGCTGCCACTCTTTCTTCCCTCCCTCCCTCCCTCCTTCCAGCACCTTCTTCTAGCAAAGCAAAAGACCCGCCGCCGCGCCCGCCGCCAGACGATATACCTGAATCGGGCTCTCCTACTGGGGCTGCCCCCAGCGGGGCTGGGGTTTTCCAGCTGTGGGTGCTGCTCCCCCGCACAGCTGCCGCTGGGGCCACCGCTGCCCGACTGCAGCCTCCGGACATGGATTTTAACTTTGTGGAGGTTGCAGCAAGAGGAAGGAGGGTTAGATAAAGCTTTGCAGCATCTCACCATTTCCCTGAGTGCAGCTCTGGTCCCTGCAGGGCGCTGGACTGACACATCCTTGGCTTGTGAAGCTCAGTCTCTCTCTTTTTCTCTCTCTCTTTCTCTCTCTCTCTCTTATTTCAGCAAAAGAGGCCAGATGCACCGTCACCGCCAGGTCCCAACTTCCCCCGCTGGGTTCTCCTCCGATTTGCCCCTCTCTCTTGCCCTCTCAGGACAGGCTCAGCTATCACAAACAAACAGGCATTGTGTCACCGCTGTGCAGCATCCTTCTGCGGAGACAAAGGAAGCAGCCCCCCCTCCCCCTGCACACACACAGTCTGTGCTCTGAGAGTCCCGGCTTCAACCGGGGGCTGCCATGGAAGCTGGGCTCCGCTCAAGAATGCCAGAGCTGTCGGGGACTGGGGCTGTATTGTCTGAGGCGCAGCTCGTCGGTGGCGGTGGCGCACATCTCTGCTGAGAGGCAGCCGGGCTGAATGCAAGCCAGCCAGCCAGCCAGCCAGGCTGGGAGGAGGGGGAGGCGATTCCCAGCTTCCACTCTGCATTGCAGTAACTCCAGCTGCACCAGTCCTGGGCTGCTGCACGCTCAAGGCTATCGGCGGCAACGTGCACGCTGCCAGCCAGAGAAGCAACGGTTCCTTCCTGCACAGCCCAGCCAAGAGACAGGAGGCTCTGTGTGTGTGTGGGGGGGGTGGCTGGGGGAGGAAGGAAGGAGGGAGGGCGCCCATGTCCCTTCCCAGACAGCAGGGAAGGGCCCTCACCTAGGGCCCTCAGGAGGCGATCTAGCCCAGGCTGCACAGATAGAGGAGGCTGTGGGAAGATACTTCTCTGCAATGCAAAGTTCTGGGATAATCTTATTGCATATTAGAAAAAAGCAAAACACAGGCAAAAAAACAACAACCCACCACTTCATGGTACCTTAAAGACTAACTAGAGTGGTCCATCGGTCCAGATAGGCAGGGTATAAATCAAATAAATAAATGTCAGCTTTCATGGGTCCAATCTACTTCCTCAGACCTAAGAGTAAGACTATATGACTGTCACATTTATACTTGGCTCCAAGATCAGGTGGGGACACAGGCGGGTCATGACAGTCACATAGTCTCACTCCAACGTCTGAGGAAGCGGACTGGACCCACAAAAGCTCACATTAAAATATAGCTGTTGTCTTTAAGAGGCCACAATATCTTTGTCTCTTGTGTTTTCTTTTGTTTTGCATTGCTTTGTTTAGTTTGGTTCGGCACGCTTGGGTAGACTAACACAGCTACTTCTGGAGAAACTACTATGAGATCTATAGAACATTTTAGCAGCAAAGACGATTCTGCAGAGTTTTCATAGCACACCTGATTTGTAACTTTTTAGTGACCCAACAGAAGCATTGCTTTTGCTTTTACAAATGGATCAGCAAAGCGAGGAAGAGGAAAGTCTTTCTCCTTTTAGAAATACTTCCTTTTTGGCTCTGGTTAGGTTCTGTGTCAGTACTATTATTTTATGTATTTATTTAAAATATTTTAAATACATTTCTCTCCTTTTAAGGGGCTCTAGTCAGCTTACATCATTAAAAGACAATATTTAAAGGCTAAAAACAGTATGCAAATATTTAAAAAGGTTCAAACAAATGCCACACAGTAAAACAAAATCAACACCAAAAGCAAATTCAAAGAAACAAGGCACAACAGCCCATTCAGAAAAACCCTCTCAGACAGCTGGTCCCTGAGGGAAAACCTGTCTGAAGAAAAAGGTCTTGCGGAAGGATATCAAAGATGGGGCCAGGAGTCCATTTAGAAAAACCCTCTCAGACAGCTGGTCACTGAGGGAAAGCCTGTCTGAAGAAAAAGGTCTTTTCCTCCTTGCGGAAGGATATCAAAGATGGGGCCAGCCTGGCCTCCAGTGGGAGGGAGTTCCAGAGCCTAAGAACAGCAACAGAGAAGGCTCTCCTCCCCCCTGTGTCCCCACCAATCACAACTGTGAAGGTAATGGCACCATCCTACCATCTAAAAAGGCTGTCTTGGGGAATCTCACCGGTATCTCCTCCTGCACAAGGAAGCATCCCTGACATCAGTGAAACTTACAGAAGGGTCTGGGTTTCGTCAGCACCAGGCCAGAATGCTTCCTGATGGATTACCACCAGCACCAGGAATGACAAGATTTTGCAACATCATATTTGAAAAGAGACCGAAACAAATGGTGGCTGCATTCTAGAAAATATAACCACTGTATATCTGAACACACACACAGACACACAGAAGGTTCCCCTGCCCCCAAGCCTGCCTTAAGACCCTGATCACTTTCTTTCTTTCTTTCCGCCAGCCTTAAGACCCTGATCGCTTTCTTTCTTTCTATGAAAACTAAGAAACAAAAGAACAAAAGAACAGACAAATAAACAAATAAAATACGACAATTATACAAAAGCAAAATTGAAACAGAGTTCTCCCCTCAACAAACCGGGACCAATGGAGAACTAGACCCTGTCCTTTTTTTTCAAGGATCCCCCTTCCCCTTCCAAAACATATGAAAATATGTGCCAGTTTTCTGGAATCCCGTCCAACACAACATAGAGTATTTTTTGTTTGTTTGGTTTAGTTTCACTGGAGTTAGGTACCATCGGCAAACGATCTTGGCATCTCAGCACACTGGAGGTTTCTCTGGGCTCCCTGGCTACAGCAGGATAGAAAGAGTGCTTCCCAGAGCACCAGGGACTGTTTTGGTAGACGTCTGCATGATTCTGTGGGCTCCTTTCATAAAGAAGCTCAGGCAAAAGCCTAAGAAGCAGATGGTGGACAGAGCAAGATCCTGGAGGAAGGACTGCAGACCTCCTTTCTTGTCCTCAAATTCCAGACATTCAGAGGCTCCTACATGCAAAGAATTTGCTCAGCGTTTTCTCCCCCCCACCACCACATCTTCTCCCTCCGCAAGTGCACCTCCTTGTTGGCCTCGCATACAGAAAACGCCATTTAAATTGCCCTTTCAGTCTGTGCTTCTAAAAACAGATGCCCACCCGCTGTTCCTTAACAAAGCAGCCTCTGGAGCATGACCAGAGACCACCTCCCCCTCCCCAAACTGAAAAGCACGGGAGAAAAAACCCCAAGGAGGATGATTGGTCTGGAGCACCTCGGATGCCTAGAGACCTGCCAAAGGGAAATGCCTGCTTCTAGCACAAGTGGGAATCCTGTCTTCAGGCTCACGGTTCAGAAGAGGGGTCTAGCCGGGCAATTCCACCATCCATTAACGCAGGGCTCAACACAGGAGGAAGGGCTCAGCAAGGCCTGGAAAACTACTGCCCCATTCTTTTGAAGGGGGGGGCGTCCAAGATGGCATTCGAACCTCTCCATTTCTCTCCTGTGGATGCAGAGCTGCCCCAGTGGCTCCATCAACAACATTAGCTTCCCCCGAATCCACCAAGAATCCAAGTTGGAAATAAAGCAAACAAGAATTGTCTGAAGCATAAACTTCCAGAGCATAAATTACTGCCTAATAATGGGCAAGTTCCTTAGCCAGGAATGCCAGCTCCACTGCCTGCCATCAAATCATATCAGCATCAAACCCTTTCACCTCTTCTAATCGTCCCTCAGCTCGAAAGTCTGAAAACACCAGGGGTGGAGATTTGCCAGCATTGAAGATTTGAATTAATACTTAAGGGTACTTCAAGCTGAAAGAATAGAAATAAAATCAAGACTCGGTGTCACGTAAAACAACCATTCTGCATACAAGTTCGGGAGACAGGACCAGAGTGTTGCACTTCAGGGGCAATCCCTTAAATCAAGCACTCTTCCTTGCACATAGTATCTCAGGGTGTTCTGGGGCCTATACCCTTGCACTCATAGAAAGACAGTTATCTGTGCAGGATTCAAGAACTGCATCAGACACATTGTGCAGGTGTTACGTCCATATTAGCTGAAAGGTGAATGTGCCTAAAACCGACTCTTCTGCCTTCACTCTTTCGCCATCAGATAGTCCTGGGGGAGAAGGCGGATGCTCTATCCCTAGACCCCTCTCCCCTCTTCACAGCTGTTAGTGACCTCAGACTGCAAACTCAAACATCAATCAAGCACAAGGCTTCTTGTCTCTGCCAGCCAAGGAAAGAGACATGTAATTTAGTTTCCTCTTTTCCAGATGCTATTACAGATGCAACTTCTGCAGGAAATTAAATTGTACCATACTTTAAAAAAACAAATTTGAATTCCACAGGAGCCGGAGTCAGAAACCTGTCCTTAAAAGAAATATCTTCCTGAAGTATCCACTAAGCTGAAAGCATGACTCCCTCTTGTCTGAGGGTTTATAACCTCATACAACATGAAAAAGTAGAAAGCTTACCTCCATGTGATGTTCTCTGAGTGGTTATTTATTTTCTTTTTTCTTTTTTAAATTTTTTTGCCCTGGCTCTCTCCTTAAAAGGACCCAAGGGAGCTCACATCATTAAACAACAATACTTAAAGCTAAAAACAGTAAGCACAAAAAGGTAAAGGTTCCCCTTGACAATTTTTGTCCAGTTGTGTTCGACTCTAGGGGGCGGTGCTCATCCCTGTTTCCAAGCCATAGAGCCAGCGTTTTGTCCAAAGACAATCTAGCATACAAATGCTAAAAAAGATCAAACAAGTAGCACACTAAAAAAAGGTCAACAAAAGCAACACCAAAAACACATTCAAAGCAAACAAAGGGCAACCATCTGATTAAAAACCCTACTTAGGCAGCCAGTCATTTAAAGGAAACCTTGCCTGAAGAGAAAGGTCTTTGTCTGCTTGCAGAAGGACAACCAAGATGGGGCCAGGCTGGCCTCCTGTGGGAGGGAGTTCCACAGTCTAGCAGAAAAGGCCCTCTCCCATGTCCCCACTCAACATACCTATCAGCTGTACAGGATTATTCCAGGTGGGACCTTTTCTAGAGTTAAAGTCCAGGAGCAGAGACACACAGGCCCTTCCCTTCCGAAGGACAGCTTTGTCCTCTGAGCATCTTTTGAGGAGGGGGGCAAGTGCCCCCAGGGACAGGGCAGGAAACCACAAAGGCTGCCCCTCCTCAAAGCATGCCTCTCTCCCCTCACAGAGAGAAGGGCCTTGCCACCCTCTTGAGAACCCATCCATGCACCTCACTCAGAGACACCCCAAAGAAGCACAGCGGGAGGTTCACTCTGGGTCAAAACGCCCCATAAAAAGTCAGAGACTACCGTTACTTTTGTCTGGCTCCTTTTGTTTTGTTTTTGACGATTAAGAATTCACGTTTCTGTTTCCTTATAGAAATGAAAGAGTCTACTGGCGTTTTTACTCCTTGTTACAGAAGCTCTGATAGACTGCCAGTCTTGCAAATATCAAAACGGTTGCTCTGCCTAGGAGCCACATGGACTCAGAACGGCTATAGGAGCCACCAACACTGAATCCCACTCCCTGATTTTAAGTTTTTTCCAACATCAGACTGAACTCGTGAACTTTTCTGCCACCTGCAGGAAAGGACAGACTTAGTCTATATCCCCCCCTACAAGAGCCGCCATCGCCTCAGGAATGGAGCACAAGAAAGTAGGGAGGGAAAGAGAAATCTCCACAGCGTATCACTGCTGACTCATCGGTGAGGATCATGATGGCTCGACCATGCCCAGCCTGTGATTCTGTGAAACCTGTCCCGCTTTTCCAAACCTGAGAGAGC